GACTTTGCTGCTGCTGCTGTTGCTGTTGCTGCTGCTGCTGCTGCTGCTGCTGAGGCGTAGAGCGAGTAGGCACGAACTCAGGCGCCTGAGCGTTGAGTCGACTGGATGACAAGTTCCGCGACAGTTGTGGATCTGAGGAAGAAGTTGATGATAGCGGAGAATCTAGGGTTTCGGGCTGGGCCATTATTTGGGGATATACAGAGGATAGACTTTGGTGCTTTAGCTTATTTAAAAATCAAAGAAGATAGTAGGGAAAATAAAATTGGGGAGGCTTTTCCCGTGAGAGGGTAGGGATCTAGGGATTACAGCAGAGGGGAGAGGGCCCTGAGAAGGGCGAGGGCCGAGGGAGACAATGGAGAGCAATTCTCGCCCTTCACTGAACCTTCATCGCGCCTTATTTATACTCATCCTCTCTTCTACACTTATACCAACCAGTACTGTACTACTTTTCTTTCTATTTTTCGATTTTTCTTTTACTAATTACTACTTTTAATTTCTATAATATATCTTTGGATTTTAAATTTTACAGTCTCTCCATTTATATATATATAGATTATTAAATTATGAATGCCCACTTAATATTATTATTATGCCATTACAAAATTATTTAATTCAATAATTAGTATTCTATTATTACATTTATAAAAGTTATAATATGCTTTTCAAAAAAAAAAAAGAGTTATAATATGAACTTGACTACTGGACTCAATAATATGATATACTTCTTATGTATCATTTACTCTCGTAAAATGAAATTCGAATTACTCTTTCTTCAAAATTAAAAATAAAATCAAATAAAATCCAACACAAGAGATTAATGCATTTAATGAGAATAAATAGTGTCACTTATAAAAACAAAGAAAGAAACAAAAGGTAGGATATAGTATGCTGGATTTGGTTTCCATAAGAAAAAAAGCTTTATTAATGGTTTCCCACTTCAACTACTCACATGGCAGCAAGGTAAGTAGTACTAGCTTCGATCAGAACAAGAGAAGAAACCCAAAACTGTCGAGATAGTAAGATTATGGCCTCACATCACATGCATGATGCACCACACCTAAAACACATGGACATGTGAAGAACTACAAGCTTATTGTCGGAAAACATCTCATTCATCTCCCAAGACGTTGTCTTTCATTTTCTTATTGGACACCAACCGCATTTCTTATCTCGCACCCGCTTTACATTCCATGGGAGGAGGCCACACTTGCTTGCTTCATTGCTTTTGAATCAACCTTCTTTTTAATAGCATCCCAGAAGGCAGGAATTGCCGTATCATCAGGAACTTCTTTGAATGATGGCAGGTAGTTGACATCCACAATCACATGATCCCCTGAACCTTCCTGAATCTGAAAGTTTTTACCAGCAAACAAAAGTGGTCCCAGTTAACACATAATGCTAATGGTGGCTATCAAATGACTTAAAGAAACACCATCCAAATTCACTACACAAACATTTTTTCTAGACCCTCCACTACATCTCATAGGTTTGGCTTGTCTTCGCACCCAGTCAAAGCTTCATACCACGATGCAATTCTTTATTTATTGCAATGCTAGATTCACCAAATTCCCCTGAATTCCTCCTTTTAACAGTTTCAAACTAGCTTTCTCCATTATACCAAGTAAATTGCCAAGGTTGTCTCTTCTCAGCCATTCACCCCAACTTCGTCCCCTGAATCCCCTCCACAATTCACTTAAAATTATTGAGCACAAGGAAACAGAAGAGATAACAGTTAAGTATCTTAGAATAATTGTACTACTTGCAGGTGACTAGTGGGCTACAATCAGAGATTATATGGCAGACTGAAATGATCCCCTTCATTTTCTATTCTAAGTACAGAACAAAAGTTTTTACTTTCACATATTTTTACAAAAGTATAGCTTTCAGCAGTTAACAATATAACCATAAATCACAATTCACTAAAAACAGTTTAAAAAAGAATATAATGTTTTTCACATCAGAAATACGCAGTCAACTCAAGTTATGTAGTCAAAGTTTATGTGAGCCACTCACAACAATGTCAAAGCCAAAGATGGTAAGACCAAGCCTCCTTGAAAGCCACTCAGCAGCCTCTTTTACTAGTGCAAGATCAAGACACAGATCCTGACCTCCAGAATGCTGGTTTCCAGTGCCGGTAGGTAGAGATTTTAAGCTGCAGGAAGATATAACACAGCAAATTTCTAAAGAATAATTCAATAAAACAACGACCTTATTACAAGGGGACAAAAAGGAAGAAAGGAAACAGAATGTACCTATCAAATAGAAGAGGTCTGAGACCATTAATTTCAGATGATTTCATCAAAATGTCAGCATTAGGAGTAGACTTCTTTACTGCATGGAAAACTCTCTCACCCAGAACATAAAACTTGAACAAAGTGGATGAATGATCAACATATTCCTGCAGTCCAAATCATTTCCCATTTTAGAGCCAAGGTTTCCTAATAAGAAATAGATTGTCACATTTACTGATTATGGAAACAGGCTTAGACATAGCACCATTGTGATTAAGGTCTCCCATGGATCATGGATGAAAAATTTTGGCACCTTACACCCTTTTTTTGGGGGGGATAAGCAATTTCGTACCTTAAACTGATGTTGGCTTAATGACATAATATAAGAGAAGCATGAACAAATAAAAGATCATAGTCCAATAAGAACAAAAGGTGGCAGCTTACAAAATCCAAGGAACTAGTATTAAGACTGGAATTGAGAATCTTATTTTTAAACTTCAAGCAGGGAGATTTAACAATATAAAACATGCAATCATGATTTCCTTCATATGAACAGCTTTAAAATATTTGTGGATGCTCACCTGAACAACAGCAGGTAGTGGAACACTCAAATCCTTGAAATCTTCAACTCTAAAGACAATTGCCTGTTATGAGAAAATTTAGCTTTTCTGATGAAGTAAAGTTTGGTAAACTAAAAGGTGATGGAAGACATGACAATTATAGTTTGTTTACATTGAATCATAATGTCCAAAATAAGAGTCACAATCATTTTATAAATGCTGTTAAGCAATGTTGGTATTTGACCAAATAATTTCTTTACCTCTGAATTAGGAATGATATTAAACAAAGTAGGCATCTACTCGTTGTAAGTAATATTATATCAGAGAGAATGCAAGTCTACAACACAGATTACTTATCATTCACTCTAATAAAGATAAGTCAGCACGTTTCACATATACCATCACCTAAGCTGGGTAACAGGAGTTACCAAAGGGGAAAAAATTAGGGCTGTATTTTAAAAAATGTTTCCATTTTCCATTCCATTGCCATCCCAAATATGATCAATGGGATTAAGCAAACAACAAAACCAAATGTAGTTAATGGATGGGAAACCCATTTGTAATAATTTTCCAATTTTATAGAAAATTGTACAACAAGGGTTTCCAAACATAGTTATCATCCTTATTTCATTGATCATTTATAATGTAAAAAAGGACACAGAAAAAGCGAAAACATTTTCTAAAACTAAACAGGCCCTTAATGTTCTCAAGCAAATAAATGGAAACTTCATTTTACCAAGCTTATTGAAGACATGGTTCTAAATAAACAGAGTCGCATAATGTGATCCATGCTACCAACCTCAGATTTTGAGAAAAGGCTTTGTTTGTTGTTGTTGTGATGAAATTATAGACTATGCAATCTATATTTTAAAGACTAGAGTAACTTAGCATCTTGTCTTTCCCCCTGATATGCTGCCTTCAGTGAATATATCAACATCTCTAGTACTGGTATATACAGATAAAGACATATACCAACAATGGTTCCTAATTGCTTTAGAACAAATGAAAGACAAACTACTTCATCATCAGGATCGTATATCTACAATACCAATTGGGAGAAGAGATCACTAATACCAGAAAGGGGAGACAAAGTGAGAAATAGAGTAAGAGCTTCACTAATCAGAGAATGCTGTCTACTGACATGAATGGCAAATCAGAATTCATAAATGGAAAAGAATTTTTTAATTAAAGCAACAAGAAATCAGGGATAGCACGTAGTCTTCATAACAAATGGTAGAGAAAGTAAATCATGGAAATCTAGGTACCTCTTATTAGTTTTCTCCACAGTAACATTATCCAAACTCATGGTACCAGAAGGGATATATAAATTAAGCATTTATTTACCATACTGTGAGCATCAGCTACACCACAGGCAACTTGAGGTTTCACTATACTTGGAACAGAGAGTTTTGAATCACGTAGTCGTTGTACCAAATCAGGTTCATCAAACCTGTCAACCTGCATATTTGAGCAGCACATGTGCAAAGAAAACAATTAAATTCGGGGAAATGTTGAAGAAGCTAAAACATAATTATTTACTTGTTATTGAACTGAAGACAGAAGGTTAGGTGAAAGGACTTGCAATTTCATTCATAACATTTCATTCAAACCTGCAAAAGTATTGAAAGAACGCATCTTCTGGAACTCATGGGCATTTCAACTAGCAAAAGTAACTAAGTTGCAGTCTACCCAAAATAAAGAAGAAACCCTCAAATTCTTATAACCTATATATCCCCCCTTCAATTTCCTTATTATAAAACATTCTGGAAAGTTAAACTATGGAAAACCTCCAGTGAGGAAGTACTTGCAAGAGATTCCTATTATGACAAACTTCATCATGCAAATAACTGAAAAGAAGTACCAGTATCTGACATAAAGCCTTCATATTCGGTCGCAAATAGTTTTCAATCATACAAGTAACATCTTCTGCAAATTAACAATTTAGCAAACGTTCCAAAAAGCAATATCTAGTAGTTTTCTACATACTTGTAAAACAAGTATATAATAGATACCATTCAGGCAAAAGACCTTGAGAAAGTGAGGGGCCCTGACTTTGCAGCGTCCTCCTGAATTGAGATCCTCCAGACCAAGTAGAATTTGTTGGATCTTTAACCGATCCAAAACAGGGTAAATGCTATTAAGTGGATCAACTTCAAAGCAATTATTGTGATTTTCAATATTCCTGTTCAAGAATCAGCAGTAGTTACAAAGGAGCTCTATGAGTATCACATCTGACTAAAATTAATTCGTGGACTACGAAAGATAACTTTTTTCCTAGACTATAATGACACAAGTTTAAGATGATACTATGTTCTTGGCCACCATAAATACGATATAGTCAGACACATGACTGTCAAAAGATAAGAAAGCCAAGAAGCCATATATTTTATACAGTCTCATGTGAGCTCATAGATTCACACAAACAGACACATACTTAGATGTCAAAAATACCTTTGCAGTTCCTGCATTCCTGTTGTGAAAGCAATTCTGTAGGAAGGTTCTGAGGAGCTGTTTAATTCAATCGACACAATTTCATCAGTTGCTTTATGGAGAATCACATCAACCTCTTCTAACTGTGTTGATATAGGAAGCTTAAACGTCAAGGGCAAAAAAATCAACCCATTTGGAGTTCTACACATTGGAAAGGCACCCCTCTACAAAATTCATGCAATACATGAGCTTTGAACGGTCAATATAAACCATAACAAGAACTACAGAAAAAAAATCATAACTTGTCTTAGCAAAGTTGAAGGGTTTAGGGTTTTAATGCAAAACCCTAAAAATCGCATTGAAAATAAGTAGTATTAGCTTATAGATTATGATTTGTAGGAAGGTTCTGAGGAGCTGTTTAATTCAATCGACACAATTTCATCAGTT